AGATAATCGCGATAATTTCTAAAACTGTAAAAAGTTCATCTCAATATAAAAAGTGACCCTAAACACAAGGAACTCATAGCCTCCCTGTATATTAGATGTTCTCTGAACAACTTCATATGATGATCTACCCTAATCTATCACAGATAACCTATATCCATGCCCATTCTAAATCAGGGCTGAATGAGCCTTTAACAAACTGAAATGGAAAGGACTTGATTGTGAAGCATTGGTATAGGTAACTTAAGATGACCATATACATAGCCCAATAACTTCTATTATATACTTTGCAGCCACCATGACATGAATCGATATGCAGTGGCAGAGCTTGGGGCCAAATTAATGAAAAATAAAATATCCAAGTAAAATACCAGATTTGAAAAAATAAAACTGCACGGAGCCAATGCACTATGTGCCGCCCCTGTCTATAACTAACAAATAGTATAATATGTTTCTTGCAAAGTCAGGTATTCAGGGTAGTCATACTCAATGAAATTCAGGGACAACTTTCAGAATGACAGATAACAGTCAAGGACCAGGAATAATCAAAATTTGGCCATCTAAGCATAATATTAACTGATTTGTTTCTTACGATATATTTTCAAAAACTCACAAGATCACCCTCAACGAACATGAATCTCTCAAGAAAGCAAAGAACGCTTGCTGAATATAAGATTACTCTAAAAAATTTTGTTTCCCAATCTAAGCTAAACTCAAGGTATTGATGAACAATCATAATCTCCATCTCTTAAATATAAATTTTACTTTTAGAAATCTCTAATTTATAGAAATTATACTTTATTTACTAAATTATGATTATATCAATGAAAAAATAATAAATAATCACTTGAACAAAAGAAGAAATGAACATATTACCAAAAAAAAGAAAAAATTAAAAAAAAACAGAAGAAGAAATGAATTCACCCAGTTTCAAGCTTGAATGGAAGGTCATCATTATAACCCGGTAGGTTCTTGACAATAGAACCTGCAGAAGCCATATGTGCCAGAAGCATTACAGCAACTAAGACCACACAACTACATCTCCAACTCCAAGCCATGGCCCTAAACATCAACACAAGAACTTTCAACACTAACCCAACACAAATGGCTTCCACTGGGGTTACCAATCAATTTCCCTCTTCTCTCTCTCTCTCTCTCTCTCTCTCTCTCTCTCTCTCTTATCTAATATGCTAAGAATTTCAAATAAAATAAAAAAGCAGAAATTTATAATAAAAATGAGTGACAAATGAACACTTACCAATTAGGGATTCTGAATATTTTGTTAGAAATCGAGAAGGTTTGAATCTGAGATCCTATATATCGGTGATAAATCCATAGAATCTTCAAAAATGAAAGTAAATGCTGCATTCAAGCTCTGGTTTGTGATTCGGCGATAGAGAAGAAAATCAACAAGAGAAATTGAATCTGAAAAAAGAAAAAGAAAAAAAGAAAAAAAAACAATTAAAAATTAGGTTTTACTACTTATGTTGTGCCTTGTTCGACTTTTTGGATGAAAAATCCTTGAATCTTTCATTGCGATTCTCTGCGGAGTCGAGCAAAGACACATTGGCTCATATACCTCTACGGGCATAGAAGGATCAGAGAAGGAAAATGAGACGTATTTTGGAGAAAGGAATGAAAAAAGGCTTAGGGGAGAAGAGAAACAATATAAAAAAAAAAGAAAAAAAAAATGAGAAGCAAAAGAAGCGAGAATAAGAAAAGATTTAATGTGATAATTGATTAACAGAGAGAGTTATTTTGCCACATTAAATGCGTAGTAAAAATTGGTTTTACGACATTAAATTTAAATGTGGTTAAGATAATGTCCCTATGCTGCGTCTTTTTTGTACTGCGAGTATAAACACCATTCCTTTCATACTCTCTGCTTTCTTAATACTTGTTTAACTTAAGCAATAGAGTGGCTTGCATGCATGCCTTCTCTCTGTGTTCAATCGTTACAAGTTACAACCAATATTCTTCAAGAAGATTCAGACTTCAACATAAAGTGATCGAGTAATCAACCATCCTACTTAGTTCAAAATCTCAAACATATAAATAGTGATATATATTGCTAAATTTTTGTGTGTATCAACGTTATGTTTGGAATACTTGATGATGTTTCTATAAAATAGAAAAAAAAAATTAGAATATAAAAAAATGGGGTAAAATAATGATTCCCAATTTATAATTTGGTAGGATTTTGGAATGAAACGGCTTTCAAACCATTAATTATCTGGTATATATATGAAATCACATAATAAAGTCAAACTTTTTTTAAGAGATAATTAGTTATAACAATAATAAAATATTGGAGATAAAAAAGAATAAATACTATTTTATTTGTAATAAAATTAAATAAATTGTGTACAATGATTTGGATCATATACTCCATTTCTTTTATCAAACATTTCATTTGCAACACTTAATATGATTGTTTGCCACCACTTTAGTATTTTGTTAATTTTTTTATAATTTTTTATGGAGATTATTACATGAGAGTAGTTCTCTCATGCTGTAGAGAAAATTCAAGTGGGATCCACCATTAAAAAGCAAAAAAAAAAAAAAGGAGTGTGGTTTTTGAAGTGAGAGAAGATAAGATAATTATCTCATGTAAAATGAGAGTAATATTTTTTTTTTCATAATTATATTCTTCGAAATTTAAAATAAGCAATTTGAAATCAATTAGAAGACGATGAAAGGATAACTTTAAAAGATAATAGTTGTCATTCTATAAAATAAATGAGAGTATTTAAAAAGAAAAATTAATTCCAGTTAATGAAATATAAAATTGTTATTATATTCATCCTACAAACTACAAAGTAAAGAGAAAAATTTATCTTCTTTGGAGATAAAATTAAGTTTTATAAAAAAAAAGTAAACAAAAAAATATGAATCTCATTAAAAAATAAAATAAAATAAAGATATTCTTTTTATATCTCGTTCTTTTTAAAATTTTAAATTTATTTCATTTAAAAAAATAGATGTTATCCCACGTGCCATCCCCAACACAATTACCATTTTGCATGTCAATCACAATATAATAATTTTCAGAATGAATCTCCATATTCCACGTGCCATGCCGAGCATGACGTGGGACGAAATCTATCAAGTCAATTGTTAAATCACCAGGAAGTACAGAATCTAGAACGAGATAACGTGAATGCGAAGTTCATTCAATTGCGGGAACAGTTATCAAAATGTCTCGTTTTGTCAAATTTTTTATTCAAATACTATGTGAATAATATTTTTTATCAGACTGCCACATGTCATTATTCGCTATCATTGGTAGCGAATTTTGTGGCCAATAATTTCGTGACACGTGATAATATTGCAAACCAAATTAGCTACAAGTAGTAGCGAATTATGACACGTCAACTTTTTCCTGCAAAAGTATGTCACTTGTCAAAAATTATTTGCGAACATAATATGCTACACAGGGTAGCGAATTACTACCTGCTTGACACGTGTCATTTTTGCTGACTGTGTATTCTGACGTGACATAATTTGTTACTCTGAGTAGCGAATTATTTGCAAGCATATTTCGCTACACAGTGTAGCGAATTATTCCACATGCCAGTTTGGAAAAATTTACTATTAACGTGACAGTCTGGTAATTTTTTTGGCCAGGCATAGCAAAATGGTCACTGTTTCTAATTTCAGAGTTCTAATAATAAAATCCATTGTTGGAGTAGCAGTACTATTTACTTGTATGCGGAATATATATTTCAATCAATGTTGTTAAAATTAAAATCTTAAATAAAATCGGAATAGAATTAAAAAATCGTAAAACGTAAAATCGTAATATACAAAAATCATAAAAAATCTTAAAAACGTAAAAGCGTTTGAAATATTAATAAAATTATTTTGATAAAAAAAAATCGTAAAATCATAGTGATAAATCGAGATTTTAACAACAATGATCTCAATGTTACTTATATAATTTTTTTATTTAATGAGAAAGATTATTAAATAATTTTTTTTATTTATAAAATTTTATAAACTCAAATATATTTATGTATTTTGAGTAATTATTTATGTATGAAGTGTATTCTCTTGAGTTTATAAAAATTTATCAATATATATATATATATATATATATATATATATATATATAAAGGTAACATGCTCTTTATTTCATATAGACAAAATAAAATTAGTAAAATCTACTAAATAAAAGTCTCCATGAAAAATATATTCCTTTACTTTCATGGGTTTTATTAGTGTTATGTAACATAATGTAAGTGTTGTTCCCAACTCTCACATCAAAAGGAAGAGAAAATGGAATGGTGACAGAGAAAGAAAAACATGTGGACTCCACCTCTTTAATGTGTGTGTAAAAATGATGTTATATTATATTAAATGATAAACATAAAACCCTACTTTTATTGGGACGATTAGTCTATAATATACGAACCTAGTCAATAATATGTTATATATTATTTACGCGTTAATTTTAAATATAAAAGTTATTCAGATTTTGAATATACTTTTATGGGTTCGGTATAAAAAGAGATAGACACAAAATAATAGAAATTATGGGAGAAAAAAAGTGAGTATTTTTTAATTTAAATTTTAAATAAAAAATTATTTTGTGTCTATCTCTTTCTTAAACTGACTTAATTTTATGTCTTTAAAATAAAAAAAATTTCCCCTAATTTTATTTTAGGAAAAAATTACTCTTATGCAACATAAGAGTAATTTATCTCTTATAGACTCATCGAAAACGGTGACATTTATTTTTTTGTAGATAGTAGACCCCACCACATGTGTTTCTATAACATAAGATATCATTTCTCCTGTAACATGAGATTAGATAAATTCTTTATTTTATCATTTTAATGACGTGGAAACTAATGATATGAACCGCTTGATTGAATAAACGGATAAAAGTCACTCTCTCATTTTTATTTTTATTTTATTTATCCATTTCCCAAAATAGTAGTATTCATTCACCAAAAACAAAAAAGGTTGCCGCTTCCCATTTCTTCATTGCCCATATTCCTCTTATCCTTACCATTTCCTCGTAGGTTTCCAATCTTCATTCATCTCTTCCTTTTCTCAAGAGCTTTAGCATTTGGCTGTACCAAAATGGCGATGAAATTATTTTGTATAATTTAAATTTTTTCTGATTTTTTTTTTTGTCACATTTTAACATCCATACATCAAAATTTCCTCTCTTTTTATTTTTATTTTTTATTTCATACTTCAATCTGTTGTTTTTTATTCAGTTTATTGTTAATGGAAATATGGGTTATTGCTGGTTTTAGGAAAGTCTGCTTCAAATTTTGGAAAATGGCTTTATTCTTATTTTACTGAACGATGTTGTAGCACCGGAGGGTTAGAATGAATTGGCAAAAAGAAACTGTCGGTTTCAAATTTAGCAAGCTTTACCCTGTGTTGTTTCTGTTGGGGTCACATAATCATGGGCCAGTTATGATTTATTTGAAATCCAATTATGGAGTAGTTGATTTGGAGTTTACATTTTGAGTTGTGTTGTTATAATTTTAAGTGTTTTGTTGAAGCTCTGCTCTGGAAGAAAGTACAATAAGGGTAGCTACAATGTTATTTGATTAAAAACTTGAAGTTGAGTAATGAAAGGATTTCTTTTTTGTTTTTCTCATGAAGGGGTATTTGCCTTATAGACAGGGAAACATATTCTTGTATTAGTGTAATCATTTTATTATTATTTGGTTGACATTGGTACATATTTATCAATAGATTGTACTTTGGCTGCAAAAACTTATCTGGTGGCTACTTTCTTAGTTGCACTAAGAGGATTATTTTGGAAACAATTGTGTGAAATTTTAATATTAGCATCTTCTTGTTCTATCAGGATGCTGCTGCAAGATACCACTACTGACACAACCACCCTCAGTTATTGGCTAAATTGGAGGGTATATCTGTGTGCAGTTTGTGTTTTGCTGCCTATGGTTCTTGCGTTTCTTGTAATATGGAAGTATGAAAATGCAAGGAACTTTACATCTGGCAAAGGAGAAAACCAGCAAGACAGGACTTTATCTGGTGATGAAACATGGAAACCATGCCTTAAAGAAATTCACCCTCTTTATTTGCTAGGTTTTCGAGTTATTGCATTCTCTTCTCTTTTGGCAACAATAGTTGCCAAAATTCGTATCAATGGTGGCACCATATTTTATTATTACACTCAGTAAGTGTTTCCACTTTGTTGATGTCTCTCTATATTTTACTTGATTAATGGTTCCTGTCATTTTTATAGTGGTGGTATACACTGAGTGGCTAGTTTTCATAGATGATGATGTTAGAGATATATATGAAAACCATAAATGTAGTCTCACCTATTAGCTTAAGCTTTGAGTATGGCGGGTTCAGGAGGAGCCCGTGACGGGAGATCATCCACCAATGGGCTAAGTGAAATGCATATAAGTGAGAGGACCGATTAACCCAATGCCTTAAGGTTTTGGGTTGAGACATGGTGTCGGATCCACTTAGTTATCCCAACAATAGGTGATTTAAAGCTATAATAGTGAACAAATTCTTCTTTCTGAATTAAGCATTGTAATTGAATTCAAAATCATTTATGATGGTTTAACTGTCTTAGTTTTTATTTCAGTTTCATTTCAATGTTTTCTACTTCTTTACTATTGGCTTTGAACTTTTGGTTATGGTTATTTTGGATTTCTTGCAGGTGGACCTTCACGTTGGTTACAATATATTTTGGGGTACGGCTCTTAATTCTTCTTAGAAGCCTTTAATGTAATTTCTGAACTCTTAGCATATTTGAGTCTCACAATCTGAATTTTCTTTTTGTAGTATGCATGTATGCTATCAGTGTATGGGTGTCATCAGTATAGAAAAACATCAAGCACCACCTTTAATGTTAATATTGCTAGAATAGATGAAGAGCAAGGACCAAACATGCCTCTCTTACATCAAGATGCTACAAATATGTCTAGAATGGAACGCCTTGCTGATCCCCATGTTGAAATACATAAGAATCGAGTTGCTCCCATTTGGAGTTACATTTTTCAAATTTTATTCCAGGTATCAACAAAAAAACAGCAATTATAGCTTTCTAGATAATTGGATGTCCATTGAAATTCGAACTCTGGTCTGTTACTTCTTTCCTTTCCCTTCTATGTGTTTGTTTATTTTATTTTATTTTTTGGGCAAATCATTTCTGCATCTATGGTAGAAATTATTTTTGCGCCGCAGACACAAAACAAGAGTGGGCTCCATGTTGATGTCTCTCTATTCTTTATAGTTTCTCTCTCTCAAATGTTTGTGTCTATGGCTGAAAAATACAGATGCAGAAATGATTTTGTTATTTTGTTTATGTTTGTGAACTGTCTTTACTTTTTTGTTCTCTTTTAAAGTGTGACCTCATCTTTTCTTTTTTCCTTCTCTTTGATTTTTTTTGTGCGCCTTTTATCTTGTTCACTCTTCAAAAGCATGGTTTTGGCAAGCTTGTTAAGCTTTATATGAAAACTATGTGCCTAATTTGCTAAATTTATTAGGTTGGTATTGACTGCAAACTAAATCTAGCACTTTTGTGGGTGATATTGTTAATGAAGTTCAACTGCATAGTACACATCTGAACGTCACATCTTTTTTAGTAATTTCAGAATTTAATATCTGCACATGTTGATTACAGTGCTGAATTAGTTTCCCTTGATTTTAATATGTTTAATTGTGTCTTTAAACAGATGAATGCAGGGGCGGTGATGCTCACAGATGCCGTTTATTGGTTCATTATATTTCCATTTCTTACCCTGAGGGATTTCGATTTTACCTTTGTGAGTAGCATCAATCTCCTTCCAAAGATTCCCATACTTCATACTTTATTCTCTCTTGGTTTCTGCTACAAATTAATTGTTTCTTACCTTTTGTTTACTTTTTGCTAACCTATTGGGTTGACAAGACAGTAAGTCATTATAAAGGGCTGAACTTGGGGCTCATAGTGAGCTAGTTGATATGATCCTTGACAATTAGATTTCAAAGAAGGAATTTGTCTTTATTTTTATTTATTTTTCGTGCATAAATTTGTCTTAATTCGCTTTATATGTTGGGAGTTTAGTAAGATATTGGGTACATGTGGTTGCTAGAATCTTAGAGCCAACCTTCAATTGGAACTTCAAGAAGATGATTCATGATACTATGTACTTAGTATTTCTATTAGAGCATTTTTGCTTGTGATGTACTTGCAATCTTGCACACAAGATATTTTTTGAATCTGAAATAAATTAATTCTGTTTTGATGGGAGGAATCAAAATAAGGTCTGTGGGACAATATAATGATCTGATTTGCAGTGAATTGAAATCTAATATCACTCAGCAATTACATTGAGGATGCCAATAAATTGAAAGGGAAGATTTTAATTCCTAAATATTTCATCAGGTTTGTTATGGTTGATGTATATGCTATATAACCAATATTAGAATGCCTAATCTGCAATTATAGATATGTCCTTTAGGATAAGAATTGGGTTGAACCCTCTCTGTATGTATCCTTAATTTGCAAAAATAAATGATAGTCACATTAAAGTAGATTCATAAAATTGATACAGTAAGATATTGTGGTTTTGATATCACTGGTTGCAGTGATAGTCTTTTCTTTTTCATCCTTCATTTCTACTATTAACTCTTACCTCTTCACTTTTCCTAATGATTTAATTTGATCAGTTTTTTCATCTTGTGTAGATGACAGTGAACATGCATACACTCAATGTTATATTGCTCCTTGGAGATGCAGCTCTAAATTGTCTGGTGAATATTTTCGTAAACTTTAACATCTTTATTTGGGGCAATTGCATAACACATATTTTGAATTAGTTTAACCTACACGTTTCAGCGAATACACTGGTTTGGGATATCTTTCTTTGTGTTATGGACAGGTGTTTACGTAATTTTTCAGTGGATTATTCATGCTTGTGTCTCAATTTGGTAAGCTATGCTACACTTGAGCATTTCAGATTTTGCAGACACAATGGTTTCAATAAAAATGGTGACCATTCTCATTCCTACAGGTGGCCATACCCATTTCTTGATTTGTCATCACCTTATGCTCCTTTGTGGTATGTCATTTCACTCTGTAGTACACATTTGTTTAGAGAAATATGATATAAAAGAATAAATTATTCACCTAATAGTTTAAGCTTTTGGGTTGAATTAGTTCTTTATATGAAGCCTCTCGTGATAAGGGTGCGAACCGGAGCAGTCGTAAAGCTGTTCTTTCATGACCGAAAGGTCATGGGTTCGAATTCAGGAAACAACCTATTTACAGTTATGCAAGGGTAAAGCTGTATGCAAGGATTACCTCCACTCTACACTCGCTAGTCAGGTTTAACAGGGAGTGATATTTTTTTTTTTTTTTTTTTTATGAAGCCTCTCGTGACCAAGTGGTCATGATATGGATATTTTCAAATTAAATGATGAAGTGCAAAACATTACTGAATTTACATCCGGGGCCTTCACTTGCATGATGCTTTATATTTTCATTTTCCATGCTAAACTTATGGCTTTGTGGGAAAAACAAGTTGCCTTTTCATTTAAGGTTATATTCTCATGATATTAAGTAAAATGGAGTAAAGAACCATGAAAGAGAGAGAGAACTATACCTTAGCATGCAAAACATGGCATTTGTACCATGGTATCCAAGATTATTTCCAAGTCCTATTTTTTCCCCTCCCTTTATTTAATATTTACAATTACCAATGCCTAATCCAATTTGTTTTTTTGTGAATGTAGTTACTTGTTGGTTGCATTGTTGCATATTCCATGTTATGGCTTCTTTTTGCTGATTGTGGAAATGAAACATTATTTCTTGGCAAAATGGTTCCCCATCTCATATCAGTGCTAAAGATCGAGTGGCATCACAGTTGGGGGTCCCTTTAGAGCCAGATGCAATTTGTTCTGCACCAAAACTTCATCTAGCTCTCCCAACTGCAAGGTTGATGGTTGTTGAGCTGTGTTACATGCTCGTGGCTCAAACAAACAACTGAAATTCAGCCAATAGGGTAATGTGAAGCTTCCAGAACTGCTTCCCAGAGCAAAGGTGAAGCAGTATTTATGTAGGAGCAAGTGGAGGAAGGAACATTCTATTTTATGGATTGTTCCTATTCTTCAATAGTTGGAATCAGTTTTGCTGTCAGATAATCGGGATATCCATCTACGTGTGGAGGACTTATGTTCAATATCACATTGAGTCCACTGAGATGATATATACCTGTTATTGTTGATTGTAATAGAAACATTTTGTAGTCCCTCAGTTAAGACTTAAGTCTACCTATGTAGACCCGAAAGAAAAAGTTTTTGAGTCTACATATGCTTGAGCATCGCAATCTTGTTAATTTTTTTTTTTTCATAAACTAGTAAAATTTAATTAATTTATGGAAAAAAGAGAGAAAAAAAATGATTGATAAGGAAATTGGATGCAGAGAAATGATTTAAAAAAGAAAAGAAAAAGAAAACTAGATATTAAGAGTATGTTTATCGTTTTACCAGTGGAACTTAATTTTAATCGTAACAATGAAAATGTCATTATTATTGCTACTTTTAACTATTATATAAGACCATATTTTAGAATATCTCGTTTTACTAAAAAAAGAGATAAGGAGCTTATTTCCTGTCATTCACAGTTCTCGAGTTCGAGCAATAGAGAAAATGATCTAAAGTCATTAGATTTGGTTTGGTGATGAGAAATTTGGATAGATTGTATTAAGTTATATGTTTGATTCTTATTTGTATCCAAATTTTTTTTTGATCTAGAGACAATGTTATCTATAATGGGTCCGATAATGCTCGAATCGAATTAATCAATAAATAAGTGGATATATATAAAAAATATCTCTTTTTAATAAAATAGTTTTGCTTTCATATCAAATTCAAGTTAATATGTATTTATTAAGGGTAATATTTTTTTTATGTGGCATAAAAAAGGTATTATTTCCTACTCAAACAATAAATAGGAGAGAAAAAAAAATTAAAAGTGAGAAAAAAATTCTTGAAAAATCCATTTGAAAAATGTGAATGTAGAAAAGAATATTTTCTTATGCAATATAAGAAAAATATTATCCGTTTATTAAATAGCAAGTACCAATCAAACTAAAGAAAGTTTCGTCTAGGATACCAAAAAAAAAAAAGTTGCGTCTAACCCATTCTTTATTTCTCATTCAATTCCGAGTTTTAAAATTACCAAAACAAGATTTTTATAATTTAATAAATAGTACAAAATATAGGCCTTCGGATAGCTTAACGATACCCATAATTTCAAAAGCAAAGCCATTAAAGAGAGCAAACTATGACCTTAATAACCACAACGCTAAGGAAGCACTTGTAGTTAAATTGTTACTGACCCAAGCTTGTAACCCCTGTGGAAGAACAAAAGGGTTTGGAACTAGAAAAATTTATAGGTCTTTTATTAAAACTTCCATGTCAAAAGAAATATCACAATAAAATACTGCATAAGTTTATACCATTCGTGATAACAGAATATATATATATATATATATATATATATATATATATATATATATATATAAAAGGAAAGGGAAATACAAAACAAATATTAAAAAGAAAATAAGGCCTATTTTATTGAGATTTTCTTTCTTTCTTAAAACCGTTTTGTAAAATAATTAATGAAATAGGTATTTTTTGTGTTTTAAAAATTAAAAGTCAAAACACAAAATAAAAATAACTTCAACATGTTCTTTAAATTTCATTCTAAAAACTAAAAACAGTTGTAATTTTTATAATTATTTTTACAAAACAAGACTTACCAAACATTTTTTTAATCTAAAAAATAAAAAAACTATTTTCTGAAACACAATTAAAGAGGCCCTTATCTGTGAAAATTCCCTTTGCATTGGCGATGGCTTAGGAAGAGAGTTTGAACCGCCTATAATGACTCCTAGTTTACGAGATCATTGAAACCAAATTGACATATTTAACCTTACCCAACAATATAACTAAGAACCCAATCAAAAATTGTCACTTCAAATTGGCGTTTAATTGATTCTCCTTATGCAAAATACCTAAAGCATAAACCTGAAATGGAAAGTTCAGAAATTGAATAGAGACTAGGCGCTTCCCAATAAGAGGTCCATCACAGTTCTAGTATTAAAAGTCTAATATTTGGTAGGTCCAAAACAAGCCGAACGAGAAAATAATTTAAATAGCACTTATGACAGTGTATCTGTTTTCAACAACTAAAATATCATTCAGCAATAGACTTACTTGACAGCTTTCTAGTTTAAAGAGAATCACACAGGAACAAACACGAGTTTCTTAGTGCTGAATTGAATTACATCCAACCCAAATACATGAAGACTGATTTTTATTAAGCAAGTTAACTCTACATAAACAGAAATTGAGCTCCTTCAAGCAGATGATTCGGCAACAACAGCTCCAGCAGATGTCAGCAGAGGTATCAGCTTCCCCTGATTGTGCAAGGCAGTTGTTGCTGCATAGAAGCAGAAGGATCAAGATAACAACTTGAAAAAATTATATGAAATAAAATCCAATGATTAAGAAAACTAGCTAAGATCTATAAAACATCTAAATCTCACAGTCACAGCCACCAATGTGGTTTCCACCAATAAACACATTTGGCACAGTCCTCTGACCAGTCCACTCAGCTAATGCTGCTTGGATCTCACTTCCATCAGCTGCAAAATGTGCAACCACTTGGGTCAACTCACTTATTTTTCACAGACAAAATCATGGTAAGAAAAAACGTACAAGAGATGGTGGAAGCATTTTCTTAACACAAGGAAATCGAATTACAGATTGCTAGTGAATTCCATTCATTTATGATTTGATTACTTGGAAAATAACTATGGAACTGTAATTTCTTGTAACAAACCAATCCCTGATTCAGCACATGTTACTACTGTTCAATACCTACTTTAGTAAAAAACATTCCTGCATCATTCCATGGTACTTTAGTAAATAGAGAGCGCTTAAATGAAGGTACCTTCATATAAAGTCTACTAAAAATTCATTGAACATAAGGCAGTTTAGGCAAATGCATCTCTTTACTGAACAAAACCTTGTAATGTTGAGGGAGGACAAAACAATGATAAAATTCACCTTCCCAAAAACAAAATATACACCAAAACCATGTAATGTTGATTTCCAACAGTAAAGGCACAGATTTACCCCAATCATTAACAGCCAGAGGTGTAAATCATCCCAAGAAATGAACAAACTACAAAACCATCACTTAATAGCTACAAGAGGAATCAACCAGTTTCATGTATACCTCACAACTAGTACTAAACAATATGAGTAATAAATGCCTTACTTTGCTGTCATCTTGCAGGAGAAAAGAGTAATTAGTGCAACCTAACCACCTTTAGTATTCACAAAATATTCAAAACAAACATACATAAGCCCAGTTATTTATTTTTAATTGAGAATAAATATATGACCACATTCATTGACCAAAGCCAGGCATAAACACACCCGATAAATACAAGTGATATGAAAACAAAATAAATAAATAAATAAATGTAATTTGATAAATTCATAGTCAACCTCCAGCAACAGGGTGAATTAAGAATAGAATAATACAAATAGGGACGCCCTAACACACTTGATATTCAAAACCGTGAAGGTATGAACGAAGCGTTAAAAGGCTGAATCAGATGTAGTCATTTCACAACAATTCCCTAAAAAATAATAATGAAAACCTTTTCACTATTCACAAAAGCCCAAATAAAAGGGTGCCTAAAAAATAAAAGCTCAAAAAAGAAGAAGGAAGAGGATAAGAAAACACTAACATTCAGAGTCGAGCTCAATGGCCTTGTAAGTGACACCCAATTTGCCGAAGAGCTGCTTCACTTGGACACAGAAAGGGCAATACGATTTGCTGCAAATGCAATCAATCATCAACGAACGTTTCAAGAAAATAATCGATTCAGCGTCACACATATTTACACAACAAAAAACAAAACAGAGAAAAAAGATAGAGGGACCTGAAAACCACAACCGAATTGGAAGATGCGATCTCCTTGGCTTTAGAAAGCGCCATCTTCTTATCTTTCTCTCTTTATTTTTTAAAACCAAAAGCTTAAGACACAGAATGTTTCACGCCGTTCCGGCTATATATATAGGTAGAAACGGCACAACCTTCCAAGTAACCAATCACCGCAATTGTAGGCAAAACGACCGTCGTTTCGACTGTTTTGGGTTTGCTTAACTTCTAAGTATCTCTTGATCGGTTCAATCTCAGTAAAGCTATTAATTTAATTAATCAAGTTATAATTTAAATAGATTACCAAATAAAAATTATAATTTAAATTGATTACCAATTAAAAATTATAATTTAAATATTTATGGTATTGAGAGATTATTTCTATTTTTCTTTATTTAGCATTATAAAGTCTGTTATATTTTTCTGTCTTTTACATGGGTATAGTGTTTGTCATTTTAAATGACATAAGTTATGTCATTTTAAGAGAGAGATAGACACAAGAAATGAAAATCCTGGAGAGAAAATGGAAAAAGTATTTGTCATTTTAAATAATATAAAGTTATGTCATTTTAAAAAAGAGATAGAAACAAGAAAATATTTTTTTATTTAAAATTCAAATTAAAAAAAACTACTCACTTTCTCTCCCATAATTTTCATTCCTTGTGTCTATCTCTCTCTTAAAATTACATAACTTATGTCATTTAAAATGACAAATACTATACCCTTTTTCTTTCTTTTACATTATATTTCCCAAGCCGACTTTTTGATAGGTAAATTAATTTTTGGAAAAACTCCCCTATTATTTTGTTTAAAATCACTTATTTCTTATACCATTTGTAATCACTTATCCCTTATATTTTTTTACATCGAAACTCATTGTTAACACTTTACAAACTTAAATAATATGCATATTTTACCTTTTTTAGATGAAGAAAATACGTTTATGACAAAAAAATAAGACTAAATATGTTAGAAACTTGCGACACTTAAAAAATTAAAAGTAAAAAAAAAAATAGAAGAAAATTGACTCAGGAAAAAAAGATAAAATCAAATATATTGAAAACTCACAACAGTTACAAAAAACCTAAAAGTAAAAAAAAAAATCAAAATCAAAAAGGAGAAAATAGACTCAAGAAAATATAAGATAAAAACAAAATAGAAAAAATAGAAATGAGTTTTGTAAGTTTTTGATATTTTTTGTCTTATTTTTTCTTCTATTTTTTAATTATCAATTTTTTTTTATTTAAACATATTTGATCTTTTTCTTCCTCTATTTAATATTTTTAATTTAATCTTTTTTATTATTGTTAAAAGAAATAGAAGACAAAAAAAAGATATCAGTATTATAAGTTTTCAATATATTTGATGTTATTTTTTCTCCTATTTTTTTCTCTTTTGTTTTCAGTCTATTTTCTTGTTTTTGATTTAGATATATTTCATCTTTATTTTCTTGTATTTTCATTTTTTTTTTCTTTCACTTTTAGTGTTTTTTATAACTATTAAAAGAAATATAAGACAAAAATAAATCAATGGTATAAGTTTCCAATATATTTAGTCTTATTTTATCTTCTATTTTGTGTTTAGTCTATTTTTTTCCTTTTGATTTAGACATATGTGATCTTATTTTTTTTTTCTTCTATTTTCTTTGTCTTCAGTCTAGTTTCTTTCTTTTGATTTAGACTATTTTTAATTTTTTTTACTCACTTTTTATGTTATTGTTATAAGTTTTCATTTATCTTATTTTTTCTTCTATTTTTTTTGTCCTCAATTTATTTTCATCTTTTTGATTTAGACATATTTGGACTTTTTTTCATTTATTTTTTTAACTTAAATTTTTCTGTAAGTGTTGTAAATTTCTAATATATTTGGTCCTTTTTTTTCTTTTTTATCATCTGTCTATTTTCTTCTTCTAAAAAAGATAAAATAGATGGATCAATTAAGTTTCTAATGGTGTTAAGAATAAGTTTAGATGAAAAAATCATAAAGGCAAGATATTAAAAAATATATAGGAGCTAATTGATTCAAAGCAAAACCATAGTGTGTTTTCTGAACTTTTCCCTTTTTTTTTTTTTCAGTAACATGTTATAACATTTCAAAACTTGACAGCAGTTGTTATCAAAAAAAAAAAAAAAAAAAAAAAAAAACTTGACAGCAGTTAAAATAAATTAACACTTCAAATTTTAGTTATTAAAATCAATATAAAAGGCTATAAAAAATAACAAAGGTCGATTATAATAAATAGAGACATAGCATAGTAAATTTTCCTTATTGGAGAATTATAAAGAAACAGTAAAAATAATTATAAAACTCTATTTTTTTATTGGAAAAAGAAAATTTTAATCGGTGTTAAAGGCAATAATTTGTTATTTCAAATCATGTTTTAAAGAAGACTCATGGTTAAAATAAATTTAGAATCCTTATTTAACAGTTTAATAACTAAACCCTATAATAAATATTTAATCTGAAATGTACAATTAAGTATGTAAAACATTATTTTAGTAAAATTTGAAATTTCAGCCATTTTACATTAATTTTAGTTACATTTTCTTTCTCCATTCCATTTTACAATAATTTTAGTATAAAAAACTCCACCTTATTTTTCCTTTTTTTTTTTTTTGGTTTCTCTTGCATTTCTTCCCACGAATGTGAGTAATAATCATATCTTCCGACGACTTCAAGCTTAAACCTTTAAAATTTAGCTCTCTTTCAATTGCAAAGTTCTTTTAACAAGGTCGCATTATAAGAAAAGTTATGTGCAATTAAGAGAAACTTAAGGAGAGTTTTGGTTTGAGTATTGCTTCAACTTCACCATAATATAAATGGAAGACTCAGAGTTAAATCAAAATTTAGGATAAAGTTAAATCGAACTAGAGCCCCCTCGAACGTAACCAAAGGTTTGAAAGGATCATAAAAGGGATAAATGTAAATGTAAGAGAAAATTCAGGAAAATGACGACAAAACATCATAAAGTTGAGTGAAATGATGATGGATGTCTAAGTTCGAAGCTAAATGAAATGGCACCGGAAAAGAGCACACACAATTTCAATTCTGTTTGAAATTCGAACGTTGGACATGAACATTGAGAAAGATACATTAGGTGCATTTTGGTCAAAATCAAAAAATAATTTAATAATAATTTACTTCACATGTGAGAGCTCGTCGGCAATGATGCATGTGTTGTGGACTATGTATCACCTAGGCCCTCCCCCATTCACAAAAGTCGGATGCCCCAAGGGAAAATTTAGGTGAGTAAGACTAGGCTTCATAAGCCTCCTCCACCATTGATATTTTCCAATATGGGTTTTAGGTGAAGGAGATCAAAAGCTATGTTTTCTACGTTAGTAATTGCTAATTTACACAAGGTATACAAATCCCCACCCATGGTATTAGAGAAAAAAAATGAGTAAGAAGATGTTTAGCAATTGATTGTGGAATTTAGATAGATGATTGAACCTCAAATATGAATCTTTGTTATTTTACGGTCAAATAGTAACATGGTAAGATGAGAAACAACCATATCTCCATTTTTCTCGGCTTTTTTGCATTCCTTCTTAAAAATGTGAGTGATAACTATATCTTCCAACTTCAATCTTTAACCAATGAAAATCTAGATCTCTCTCAATTATTAAAAATTCTCGTGAGGTGAAGTCGTCCAACCCTAGTTTTTACATTTTAGTCTATGTTTTTTGTGTTACTTAATTAGAATTCTTAGGTGAGATCAATTATCAAGTTTCCTAAGTCCTTAAGTCTAAAAAACTCCTATGAGCAAATGTTCTAATTTAATTGTTTATGAATTCAATTAGGTCAGTTAGTATTTGACTAAGTCAACAATAGGTAATGTATCACACAATGTTAAATTCAAGTCGAATCAAAACCAATAGTTGTGGAATCAATAAAGATCAATTAAGCAATCAATAACCAATACAAAATGTCAATAAAAACAATTAAAGTAGTGTTGGCCGGGACCTTTATACCACTTTTTGGGTTACCAAAATTTGCTAAGTAGGTAAACTTTTACACAGTGATGAACAAATTATCTAGGTCAATTACTCAAGTATGAATCACACTTTACCCACAACATTATGTCAATTACACAATATTGACTTGATCTGGCCAAATCTTAATACAAATTTTAATTTCAAGGTTCAATCCATGATTGGAAAAACTCACTAAAATTAAAAAGATTTAGGATTAGAAAGGAGACTATATTCACCTCTAGCTCAACTTGAGTTATCAAGGGAATTTACTAATCAAACTATCAATCTTGTAAGGCCAACCTTATAGGATGAACTCTACTTCCCTCAAGTAAGGCCAACCTAAAACAATCCACATTTGTATAATGTTAATAAATGTTGCGACTTCGGCAAGTGCACCGGTCGTAAAAGTAATAAAAGAGTATTGAGTACGAGATCGTTCTCACGAAGATTGGTTTTCAAGCACTAGTTCGCTAACAACGATTTAGTTGAACAACAAAGATTGAGATGAAGAGAAGTGAAATTAAAAACAATTAATAACATGCAAATTAAAATTCAAAATTAGAAAGCAATTGAAAAGATGATTGATTAAAGATTTAAAAACAAGCTTAGTTAATGTTTCTACTTCCCCCCAATCTCCTCTATATGTAATGAATTAAATTGTCTTAATATAATGCCAATCAATTCTTTCTACGTTAATTAGGGCTCAATTCCTTGTTACCCTAAATCTATGTGATTTTGAAAGAACTCTATTTCCCCGATTATTCCCCAAGAAAACATGCATTAAGATCAAGAATTTAAAGATTGCACAATTACCCTATGTATATCCCTAGATCACAAGGATTATGATAAATTTACCAAGTCAGGGTTCATGCACCAACATCCCCATTGTCATACAACTCCCCTAAATCAATCTATAAGAAGCAAACTCATAGAAAGCATTAAAGACGGAAAAGTTTATTCAATTATAAAAAGAAAAGAATTCAGGAACAATTTAATTCAAGACATACGATTCAATTGGGTTCCATCTACCCTTAACTACATAAAAGTCTAGCCTAGCATACTGAATTCAAAAAGCAATAATAAAGAAAAGAGAACCCCAAGCCTCCATTGGTGTGACGTTGACTTGGTTCCTCAATGCTCCAACGCTCTGCAACAGGAT